TTTCATATTTTCACACTCCCATGCCACATTGTACTTCATGCAATATTTGCTCACATTTCATCCTTCAGTCGGATTTGCATTAATTAACACCGGAGTGTTCATTTGCTTATCTGTGCTCGCGTTCCCTTTAAGCGTCAGTTTGTTTTGCCGTACCATACGATATACATCGTCTCAGCAGACCTCTCAGCCACCCGTTCATGCATCGGTTTCCATTTATACTTTCTATACAATTATCTATCTCATTCAAGTGTAACTCGTGTTTATCTGCTCATGAACAACCTTAGCAATAAACAGCTAATGGGGTTCCAGCACAGACCAAGCAGACTTTACACGGGTACCCACGCTGTCCATCCTCCTGGGGTTGTGAGTCTATCTGCAGGCTCCCGCCAGGGGGACGCCAGCCATGACGCCCACCTGTACAGTCTCTGCTGGTGGAAGGTTGCAACCAGGTACCACGCGCTCAGCGTCATGATGCAATTCACAGGCGAGTCGCATCATGGAGCTGTTCACTGCTCCCCCTTCCACTTTTACCAAAACCTTGTGTCTTGTGTCATTTATTGAAGCATTAACGTGAGGTATGACCACCAGACGGCCATATTGCACATAGAAAAACTGAATACTAAGTGTACATACCGATGCTGCAGGTAGATGTGCATATACAAGGTTAACCTGAGGTATCTTAGAAACATCTGCTCTTATGGCCGAGTAGTATGGAGTAGGGATCAACCATGCATCTGCATATATGGAAAATAAATATGGGTATTGTATCTATAACCATAACATTCATGATTTCATAATGTAGCAATTCATTTGAAGTTTGTTCGCTGAATGAACCGTGTCTATTTTTTGTTTTTGTCACCTTGCTAAAATCGCATTGTTAAAATGTTATGATGTCAAAACAGACAAACCATATTCATTGTTACAGATGGATTCCACAAAAATAGTCTTAAAATGAAAATCTACACCAAGTTCTGAATTTATGGCATTTATTTACACAGAATGTTAAAGATCACATGTTTTGTGATGCCAACTGTAAAGCCGAAAACAGTCACTCGGCTGAGATAGCTCCGCTATTAGAAATGCACATTTCAATTAAAGAATTGAAGATATCATTAGAAAATGAACAAATCTGAGAGAGGTCCACCTGAGGTAACTGTATGAATAATATCAAAGCAATCAAACTTGTGGAATTTAACAAGAAGTCGAAAATACCACTTTTTACCAAAAATGACAAAAATATTCATCAAAATAAGAGAATTGAAGATGTCATCATGAAATGAACAAATCTAAGAGAGGTCTACCCAAGGTACATATACACCAAGTATCAAAGCATTCAGGCTTGTAGTTTTCAAGAAGAAGTCAAAAAAGTAAAACATTGACACTGACGACGACGTCTAGCATGCAAATTCAATTTACCGGTAAGTTGGTCCAGAGCCACTCGGCCTACAGGCTTGTCGGGATGTATATTAACTTTTCTGTGAATTTTTTCGTCTGGACACCTGTACCCCAGTTAGGTGACAATATTTGTCAAAAAAATACTGTCCTACCATTGCCATGGTGATGGCCCAACAAATTATTGTTTGTATCCCTCAGTAGATCGCTAATCAGCCTACCGAATGTCTCAAATGTCAGTGCATAAGTGTGTACTATGAGTAACTGTTTTATAGCCATGGTGTGTACTTACCACCTACATCACTGAGAACTGTGGCCAATGCACATACCATTGATGTTAAACCATTCATAACCACCAACTATTAAATAGAATAAATAATTATTAAAATACTGACAGTGAATGATTATTTTGAAGAAACAAAAAATTAAATTTGTTAAAATCATTAAATTAAACTTAAATTCAAGGCTTATTTTAACACATCAGCAATATTAATTTATCAACTTCCAATAAAGTGAATAGAAACATATGTAAATGCATTAATTATTCACTTTTAATTTCACTATTTTCATTGATAAATAAAATCTGTGATACTAAATTATTGTTTTCTTGAAAGAATTTATGAAATTAAAACACAGTGAATATGCTCAAAACATCAAAATAGTAAAATAAAATGTGAGTGAAAATAAATGGTTTTACAGTAGCTCAATTATAGTTAGTATATATTATTGGATGATTTACAATGCTGACAATAAAAAAGCAGAAAACACTTCACTCAAAATATGTTCAATTTTCTTAGGAGTAACACAAAATGGTCTGTGAGATGGATACACTACACTTACCTTATTTGGATCTAGTGGTGAACTGGAATTTGCATGTGTAGTCAAAAACTCTGCTAATGTCACTCTGAATGCTTCAATTCCAGTGAAATCATTGTACTTCAAGATATCGAGATTGTCAATAAATGGTGATGGGATGCTAGAAAGCTGTCAATGATACCAATATAAACGTGATCACATTCAACAGAACATTTTTAACATGCCGATTCTGCTTGATCAGGGATTTCGCTGCTCATCAATTCTAGTCAATAGTGAAAGAATCTATTTCCTAAAGAATCCTATAATAGTATTAAGATTTTCTTTTTGTTCACTTGATGCCCAGTTTGGTTAAAATATTTTTTAATGAGTCATGTTATCAATTATAATGCACCACCTTGATTCCCCTTGATTTTTGACCTGCTTTCATGACATTAATGAATCTTTTAAGGTATAGATGCAGGTTCGTGCATGTGCACTTGGGAATGAAATTTTTTTTGTTTTTGTGTTTTTTATTATCCAAACAGTCTTGGCTATAGACTGTTGAAATTGCTTAAAAGACGATTTTAAAATATAGAAAACAGGTACAAATCTCTTTTGAATACATAGCAAGATTTAGCAAGGCTGTAACATAAATAATCAAAAAGAAACATGGTAAAAACAATTTGTTTCGATGAACTAAGGTTAGCCCGGGGTGATTTATCCATTGTCAAGCAAATGTGATAAACGAAGTGGAAATATGTCCATAGCGTGTTAGTACAAAGAGATGAATTTGTTTTGTTATTTGTAGTGACTAGTGCTTAAAATATGCTAATCAATATGTAAATTAGGTTATTAATATGCATGGCCTTTAAGCCGAAATTAATCAGGTCTGTGAATAGTCATATAGCATATACCGGGTATGTACCCAATTTATTGCAAATTTACTAATTATGCAAATTAAGTAATTAATATAATATCCAATACTTATTAGGTCTGTGCATTGTGTTATGACATCTGTGTCTCTGTCTTTCGTTGTAATGTGGTGATTGATACTTTAGATATCAGAGGAAAAGTCAGAAATTGACAAATTACTATGCAAATTAGGTAATTAATATGCATTGACATTTACCCAAAACTAATCAGATGTGCACATTATCCCAGAGCATCTATGTACCCAGTATCATCAAAATCCAATGAGTGGTTCTTTAGATATCAGTGGAAAAGTCATGGAACACCTAAAAATTAGCTAATTTATATGCAAATTAGGTAATTAATATGCACAGAGTTTAACCAAAACCTAATCAAATCTGCGCATTAGCCCAGTGCATCTATTCATCAAGTTTCATCAAAAACCAACATATGGTTCCTGAGATATCAATGCAAAAGACGGACACACACAGACTAACAGCAAAAGCTCCCATTGTTATTTAACTAAACACTGTTTTGAAAAATGTTCTGGTATATTCATACCTTTTCAGCAACAATGTCAAGGCTGAGGCTATTCTCTGCTGTACCAGCATTGATTACTCCCTGTAAGAAAACATAGCACGACCATGGAAT